TTTTCAGAATCAAGATTTAGTTGCTTGAACTATATATTTAGGTCATCTAATTAGATTGTAGAAAATAGCACCAAATCTTGATAGCAGAAAATGAGATATTTGGTAACTATTATTAAAGCTTATACCCAAGATAAAAGTTGTATTAAATAATTTTTTTTATTTTATTTAAAAAATCTCATTGTACTATTTAAACTATTTTAATATATCTACATTTTTTTATTTTCTATGTTGATATTTTTTATCGCTTTATACGTGAAGTTCTTTCTGTGGTTTCATTCGACCTTGTAGCAATGACCCATATTTTCCCAAACTCACTCATCCGATACTTTATCTCATGTTCAAACGGAAACAGATGAGTCTCACGAATTATGACGATATTTTTGTATTCCTAGATAGCACAGAGAATTCAAAAAGAATTCAGTCGTATGTCACCAATTCTGAGTTTATTTTCAAATGTAAAAAGAATTTTTCAGAGTTCAATTCAGTAAAAAGAATTCTTTTTGTATCTAAAAATGAACTCAGAATTGGTGACATACGACTGAATTCTTTTAGAATGCTCTGTGCTCTACTATAATATATCCTAATAATTTTTAGAAAATGTGACAATGCCATATTTACTAGCAAATACCCTTATAGAAATATCATACTAAGAATCATTGATAATTACTTATTTTCAGTATTAAAAATACTGGATAATAAGTAATTATCAATGATTCTTAGTATGATATTTCTATAAGGGTATTGGAGACAACTCAACAACAAACGATATACGACGAATATCAATATGTAATATCTATTAATATAAGTACAGTTGATAATCACAAAAATTTCATTGTCTTAACAAAATAAATAGTTACCAAATATTTCGTCAAATAATTGAATGATTTTATAACACTTAGTAAATATTCGATAGTAATCGTCAAATACTTGGTAATAAACGTTAAATATTTGATAGATATTACTAAAATCTTTAGTTCATTTAACTGTAATTAAAAGCCCTTCGTATATAAAATTTACTATATAGTTCATTATTGTTATCATATTTGATATTAGATACCGAATTTTTACTTAAATTATACAACTAAATGTACTTAGTAATATATTTAGTAATAATTATCTAAATATATTTATATAATTACCTAAAAATGTATTATTAAATATATATTTAGTAATAAAATTACCAGTCTTTTTTCAATATATTTCAACCGGACCACATTTCTGAAAAGCAGTTTTTCTCACAATCCAGATAGCACAGGAATATTCTATCGATGTTTTGTGAATATTCCTAAAGCCCATATCAGACTAGAAATTAGAGCTTGAAGATTGCGGATTGAAAATTTTGACGATTTAATGATTGCGGATTGAAGATTTTGACGAGTCAATCAACTTCAGTCTTGACTTTATTCTAGTTGATTAATTTCCAATCTTCAATCCGTAATCCTCAGTCTACAATCCATAGTCTGATACGGGAATTACGAATATTTGTGTATTCTATGAATGTATTAAAAACTGTTATATGTATGTTTATAGTACATTCAAGGTATAATGATACAACTGTAAATGTTCTGTGAATGTGCATAGAATATTTACAAAATATAGGTTAATTTTGCTTTTGTAATTATAAAGGAATAATTTAAGAAATTTATTTCGCAGATACGTATCATTATTAAGCTATATAATAAATATGTATTACTATTAGAAACATTAGAAAAACTTTACAGTTACGGAAATCTATTGCGCAGTACATCAATCTTATGAATGTTCTGAATACATTCTTTTCTATTACAAATATATGAATCTTCCTATCAACATCTTTTTCCCATTGATTAATATTGTATACATATTCATAGAGTATTTGATTCAAATATTCTGGAATTAAAAACAATTGTACTTCATAAGAATATTCATAGGATATTTTGTGTTATCTGGAAATCAGGTCACAACGATTCCGCGACTGTCTCTCTTTCGGCTCATTTAATGACGACCGTCCTACGACTTTTATTTCTACGGTCAATTAGAGATGACGAGGAATGTATCCGCGTCACGCTGGCAGATTCGAATACAGTTTAGAAACCGGAACCGGGTCTGGGATCGGAGAATTGCGCGAAAGAGAGAAAAATTACTCTCGAGGCAAATTAGCATCCTTCTTCGCGACGGTTCTGGGAGATTTGACGAGTGCTCGTCGCTCGATTTAATTTCATCCAATTAACAAGAGCGAGATGAATGCCATCACATCAAATCTCTTGATAGACTGCGACTAGATTCTAATCGAGTGTCTCGGATAGTTGCTTAATTATAGTGTTAATTGGAGCCACTCTCGATGGTCGACACTCTCGCTGTCAGCGAATTTCCTTCCATCGTTTATCAATCATACACGCAGAGAATTTTTTCATTAACTGAAGAAGTATCATAGCACTCTCCCCTGACTTTAGAAGAGATATACTTATAAAACAGAAAAATGTCAAGAGGAATACGTCAAATTTAGAAAGTAAAGAATAAATTAATTATAAATTGATAGAAAGATATTCAAATTTCATTGAAATAACATATGATTTTATCTAAACTTATCATTTTTATCAGAAATTTAAATTTTTCACATTTTTTAATTCATATAAAAAATTTCTTCTTTCGTTTTATATCGTATCTTAATTTAATCTTAACAATTAAATATTTATCTGAATTCACATGTTCTATGTAATTTCATAATTTTTGCCAAAAACACAATTTAGTTATATAGATTCTTTTTATGTAATTTTATCAATTTTTTAAAGCAGAGCTAACAATGAACGAGCCAAACACGATTTGATTGAAGAAAACAGAACTTCTCAGAACTGAATGTGGTCCAGAATCAAACGTTCTGTTTCCTTCGACCAAAAATCAATATAATAAATTTATTTGTACAACAATTCATCTACAGATAATGATAAATACAATACAACGCGGTCGACACTAAACTAAACATAAACTACATATATCAGTTATAAGATATTTCTTATTCTCTTGATAACTTTTTTGTACGTAGGATAAATTTGTACATTAAATTACAAAATATATCTGACCAATATCTGATCAGATTATAAAATATATCTGACCAAGTTATTTATTTATTGTCGCCATATATAAATTTTAACTTCCGTATGAATATAGTGCAGTATAGTGGAGTAATCCCAGTCGCGCAATGCAAGAGATCCTGTGAATAATACTATTAATACTCGTATACTATATTATTTAATAACAATTTTCTGCGTGGTCATATATACAGTTTCAATTTCACGTAAAATAAGCATGAACGTTTACGGACAAACACGCGTACCCCCCCTCCCTGACGAATTTCTTTTCCCTTTATTTTAGAAAGTCTCGTATACGTCTGATTACCATCGAGATTCCCCACGACTCACCGTCGTGGACTAGATGACGCAGAACTCGTGGTTCAATATCCGTGTTTGAGATTTTGATGGGGCCTCAGAGGACTGGAAAGTTCTACGATCTTTAACCTGCGTCTTTTTAGGTTACATAATATCACATGCGCCCTTGATTGTGCCGCGTGTGCGTTACGTGCGTATGGTATTCCCCGCCGTGACGATGTCGTAATTGTCATGAATAATCATCGAGAACATTTCCATGCGGCTGCAACAGCCGAACATTCAACTTGCCTTAAAATTATATCGCTTTCAATTGTCCCGGCAGCGACACGATATCGACTCAAGAAAACAGAAGCGCCGATAAGTTGGCTCTTCTTCGGCAACTCAACATCGCTAAGTCAGAATCGCTGTGCTAATTAATATATTTTATTTAGATAATGTAAACTATATAGATACTGTAAATTATAGTAAAATACTATAATTTATATATAATTTATATATATATTATAAATTTATATATATTATTATATATATTTATATATATATTTATATATATTATTTATATATATATTTTAATTTATATATATTTATATATAATTTTACTATAATTTAATTATAGTAAAATACCCAGGCAACATAATGTCTAAAATCGGGACATAAGACGTCTTAAAGATCATCTTTACGACGATTTACGTAGAAATGTCTTTAAGACGTCTTATGTCCCGATTTTAGACATTATGTTGCCTGGGTATTTTACTATAATTAAATTATAGTAAAATTATATATAAATATATATATATTTATATATAATTTTACTATAATTTAATTATAGTAAAATACCCAGGCAACATAATGTCTAAAATCGGGACATAAGACGTCTTAAAGATCATCTTTACGACGATTTACGTAGAAATGTCTTTAAGACGTCTTGAAAATTATCTTTAAAACATCTCATGTCCCGATTTTAGACATTACATTGTTTGGGTATACACAAGAAGTAATTAAATTAAAACAGTTACAATGTATCTGTTTCGAGTATTAATTATAAATCCATTTTCTTAAAAAGATAACAAATTGCATGAACTTTCCAAGAAAAAATGATTATATATAATTATAAAAAATTATACATGATTTTACATATAAATTATATGTAAATTTGTTTTTTCAACCCTGATTTAAAAAACGTATGGCTTGCTCAAAGATGAAACGTTTATATTTTTACTTAACCTGTAGAATCCTGATATAAATTTATGAATATTATCTCCTAAACAAGTTAAAGTCTACAGAATTCTTTGTTTATATTTTTAAAAATTGCAATTTGTTACCTTTGTTATACATTACATTTATAATTAATGTTCTAAATAAATACGGTAACTCATAATTTCTCTGTTTGCATGTATATTTTACTATAATTTACAACATTTTATCTCTACAATGTCTGCATGAAAAAGAACTGTGTACACATCACGTAGACAAAACATAAACAACAATCCCTGTAGATGTGATTTTGAAATGTGTGGCGCACGACTTTTCACGCCACTGACACTTCTATTGACCGATGTGTTGTATAATACAACGATGGAAAATTGCGTGATGTTTGGCGAGACATCTATCATTCACGTAATAATATATTCGCAGGCTTGTGCATAATATGGGGCCAATTTCCCGGCTACATCTCGTATACCGAGGATGTCGTGCATTACCGCAGTTACCGTAAGTAGCTTTCGTTACTCGATAACACACTGCAAACATCACTCGCTATATACACGAAGTATGAACTCAGGAAACACCAAGAGTTACATAACTGTTATAACTTCTCATAAGTAGTTATAATTTCTCATAATATAAGTGTATTCTTATAGAAATATCATACTTATCAGTATTAAAAATACTGGATAATAAGTAATTATCAATGATTCTTAGTATGATATTTCTATAAAGGTAATATAACGTGTGTGTGATATAACAGTTATATTGTTGTTGAGTGAGAAACTGTAGCCAACGTTTGTTATTGTTATTTGATGTTTACTGGAAAATAACCTACCAGACGTGCAACACGAAAATTTCTGTGGATTAAAGCTTGAATTTACGATTTGTCAGAATAATTGCAAAAATTTGCCTTTTCTTTTTCCTGTTTTAAAAAATAAAAATTATCGTATTTTCAACGTTTCATTAAGTTCCCCGATAGAAAAACATTTATGAAATTATATCACGAAATCTGAATGAAATTTGTAATGCTGCAATTATGTGGCTGTATATAAAAAATACATGTAGGCATATCGATTTCTTGTGAAATATTGAGAAATGTTTGTGCAATTAATTTCTAGATAGTATTTCAGTAAAATAATAGCGATATGTCGATTTATCTTAGTAGAATGTTTGCAAAATTAAATTTGGAGAATTGTCCAACAATTGAGAAATATATTTCAGTTGTATTATGTTTAAAATATTTGGAAATATAACTGTGCATAAGAAGGATTCGAATGAATCCATATATCCCTTATAGAAATATCATACTAAGAATCATTGATAATTACTTATTTTCAGTATTAAAAATACTGGATAATAAGTAATTGTCAATGATTCTTAGTATGATATTTCTATAAGGGATGCTTGCAAAAATATACAATTATTCTTAAATTATTAATATTTTCAATATTAAAAATACTGGATAATAAGTAATTATCAATGATTCTTAGTATGATATTTCTATAAGGGAAAGCTATGGCAATACTTATTAATTAATTTAGTTCTGTAAAATAAATTATTTATTTGACAGAAGTAAAATTTATTTGCTTCCAGAATATATTTGGTAAATAAAACTTATTGAATAGTTGAGCAAAATAAGCGATTTTGTAGTAGTTACACAATTTTTGGTAGGTTCAACCAACCATCTGTAATAATAGATATTGAAACAATGTAATAGCTGCAAATGAATGAATTTTTCGTTGTGCTGCAACAAAACATACTTATACTTTTAACAAAATAGAACTCGTACCTACTGAATTTTTTATTACATAGGATATAATTTCATAATAATTATCAAATATCTGCTCATAACTGTAATATATTTCATATTAAATATTTAACATTAAGTAACTATTACTAAATTATTTAATTGATGTTACTGTGAATGCAATTACGTCATACTCCCGATCTATTAAATATTTGGTAATTATTATCATATTTAGTATTAGTTACTAAGGATTCAATGAATTTCTGTAACTAAATGCAGTTTGTTATGCAGTTACCAGTCTTTTCTCTCAGTGCATACATATAAATCGTCGCAGCGATTATATCAAGAGAATTTGACTGATTTTACACTTATATGGGGCAATGTCGCACAGCATACGGATACAGAAACTCGTACGTCACGCCGACGAGAGGATGGTCGCAGTCCTGGAACGCTGGAATGAGTCGGTCGGACAGGCCGATATATCGCAGGGACACGCAAGCGCGACCCTATACGCAGCTGATCCAAGTGGAACAAGAGAGAAGTGATCCTTTGACGACCATCAGCGAAACCTTGGGTGCACTGAACACCGTGGGCAACTACATCGTCAACATGACGCGGGGCGTCGAGATCTCGAATTACCCGCCGAAGGAGCTGCCCTCGGCGTTGTACACCATCTCCAAGAACATCTTAGGTATACCAGTCGACTGTAATACATTACATTAACCCCTTGCGGTCAAGTTATGCCTGCACTTTCACCGTTCTGATTGTAAGGCAGACACACGTGGCGATCGTTTGATCATAGGCACGATATGGTGGCAGTGCGAGAAAGAAAGGATGGTTTCCGATGAGATAAGCGGCCATTGATGTTACAAGAGCCTGATTTGGTCTCTTCTCTCTTTTTTCATAGCATAATCTTTGACTAGACTTAGCGTCGTGTCTCGTTAACTAGTAACGTTATATTAATCGCTTCCGAATTTTTAATCGAATATTGAAATAATTAAAAAAACGATAAATTTAAAAAACACACATAGTGTGAAACAATTTATACTAATCATGAATAATTTTGTTGATTTTTCTCATTATTACAATGTTAAAATTATTTTAGTACAAAAAGCAAATGTTATTTCCCGAATATATTTACAATATTCAATAAAAAATTAAATGGAACATTGCTGTCGGGTTCAATATATCTCCAGAATGTTCGAAAAACGATGAAATATATAAGAAATATACGAATATTATCAATACATTACATCTATAGTATGTCTAATATAAGTTTAGTGTATTCGAATAATCATCAACCCACACAGCACGTAATATTATATAATATCACAGTAATATTTCCGTAATATTGTAATATCGCAGAAATATTATTGAAATATTACTGTGATATTATACAGGGTGTTCAAAAAGTCCCGGACCGGTGAAATATCTCGAAAACTAAGCATTTTAGAAAAAAATGTTTCAGATAAAAGTTGTGGCGTTTAAAAAGATGTATTTACTGATCACATCAGTTTGAC